AAATACTCTGGAAAATCCGGATTAACCGCTCACCGGAGGATTAACTGATATCTTCTGATTGGCCAATTGTTCACCGGAGTGGGAAGGAGAGGGGAGGGGGGGGGAGGGGTAACGGGATAGTGAGAAGGACAAAGGAAGTGTTTTTATTTTATCTCTTTGTTATTGTGTCTCACCTATGAAGTTATTCTTATTATTTCTCTTGATCGTGATTTTATTTTGATTTTAATGTTTTTGTTGTTTTTTTTGCGTTTTTGGTTGAGTGAAAAAAACAATATATTGGTCACGTCTCACATTATTATGATGACAGATCCAAGTGTCGCCTCGTCGTGGGGATAAAAACCATAATTTCCTTCAGTGATTGAAATTAAGAGCTGAAGTGGATCTTTTAAAGACTCGCAGAAAAGCTCAGGGCAGGAGTTTATGATTACCAGTAGTGAAGAAGGGGAGACCGCTTATAGGTGATGATGGTGGTAGGTGGGTGATGATGGTACAGGCCCGGTGATGATGGTACAGGCCCGGTGATGGTGGTACAGGCCCGGTGATGATGGTACAGGCCCGGTGATGGTGGTACAGGCCCGGTGATGATGGTACAGGCCCGGTGATGGTGGTAGGTGGGATGCTGCAGGTCAGAGAGATTTCCTGCCTTCTCCGGTTCATTAATCTCCCCACGGTGGGTGATTTATCTCTCAAGGCCCGGAGATGGAACGCCCCCCAGTGCTATACGCCCGTCTGACGCCCGCGGGATAGACTTAGGATCAATATATCTTTACTTTGATCTTCCTCACTGCTGAAGATCTCGGGTTATACCTCAGATTACGTGGTGTTGGCGGTGTGCCTCATGTGGTCTCAACTGACAACACAACACACCTTCAGCAAAACATTAATTGTAATTTTTTCTGTTATGGTGTTTACTGAATTATCTTTTATCAGGTGCTCATTGTTGTCTGTCTGTCCTCCCTCTTCACCACCGTCTGTATGTCAGGGAAACACCAGACGACATGAACGTCTTAATTCACCTCAGTATCAACTCGAGGCCAACCAGTTAATGCTCCTCCTCGCCCTCGTCTCCACAGTAACCAGTTAATGCTCCTCCTCGTCCTCGTCTCCACAGTAACCAGTTAATGCTCCTCCTCGTCCTCGTCTCCACAGTAACCAGTTAATGCTCCTCCTCACCCTCGTCTCCACAGTAACCAGTTAATGCTCCTCCTCGCCCTCGTCCCCACAGTAACCAGTTAATGCTCCTCCTCGTCCTCGTCTCCACAGTAACCAGTTAATGCTCCTCCTCGTCCCCACAGTAACCAGTTAATGCTCCTCCTCGTCCTCGTCTTCACAGTAACCAGTTAATGCTCCTCCTCGTCCTCGTCTTCACAGTATATCTTATCTCCTTTTATTTCGTCAGTTAACAAAAGATTTACATTTTTTTTTCACTTCGTCCGAGTCGAATTATTAAAGTTAAGAGAAATAAGTACAAGGTGAGGGGTGTAGACTCGTGTGTGTTTATACCAGGTGAGGTAATGGCCCCGACAGGTGAGGTAGTGGACCCGGTAAGTGATGTAATGCCCCGACAGGAGGTAATGCCCCACAGGTGAGGTAGTGGACCCGGTAAGTGAGGTAATGCCCCGACAGGTGAGGTAATGCCCCGACAGGTGAGGTAGTGGACCCGGTAAGTGAGGTAATGCCCCGACACGTGAGGTAATGCCCCGACAGGTGAGGTAGTGGACCCGGTAAGTGAGGTAATGGCCCGACAGGTGAGGCATCACACAACAGCTCCCCATTATCAGGGAAACTTGTCACGCGATTTAGGAATAATTATATCAATCATAACCTCTCTCTCTCTCTCTCTCTCTCTCTCTCTCTCTCTCAAAATTTACATATCGATCTATCTATCTATCTATATATCTATCTATTTATCTATCTATCTATCTATCTATCTATCTCAACGTCAAACTATCTCTCTCTCTCTCTCTCTCTCTCTCTCCATCAGATCGCCTCCAGGTTAATACAGAAAGTGATAGGTAATCCACCGCTGTTGAAGTCGGGATTAAAGTTGTAATTCTTGGATAGTCGACCGAGAGACCGTTCATTCTCTCTCTCTCTCTCTCTCTCTCTTCTTCTTTACTCTTTTCTCTTTTTTCTTTCACACTTTCTCTATCTCTCTATTCTCTCACTCCCCTTTACTGTCACTCTCTCACTCTCCGTATACCTCAAGTAGCTAATAAACGCGACCAGAGAGAGAGAGAGAGAGAGAGAGAGAGAGAGAGAGAGAGAGAGAGAGAGAGAACGGTCCAATGGCTCTCTTGCAGTTACATAATCCTGGACCACTGACTGATTGACGAAAAGCACGAAAACAACACACACACTGAAAACAACATTACGCTAAAATTGTACGTTAAATAAGAAACTTTTACTGCACATACATACATACATACATACATACATACATACATAAAAGATATAGATACACAGATACAAAACAAATATTGATATGAAGGGTTGAGTGGATCGTATTGTGAACCGTGAGTAAATATGGCACTTTAAACTGGGTGTTCTTGTCAATCAAGTTTAGTGTGCGAGCCATCAACCCTCCCAGCATCCATCCATCACCTACACGCTCCCTCCTCTCGTCTTACACAGCCTCAACCATTAAGTACGGGGCCCTCCATCCATCTCCATCAACTTGGCAATCCTCAATTCTTCCTTTCAACCGTCTCCCTACCTCCTCCTCCTCCTCCCTACACCCACCCAGATACCTCTCTTCCCCTCTTTCTTTCCTTCATCCTTCCGTATCTTACCTGTTTCCTCCCCCCCCCTCTCTCTCTTTCTCTCTCTCTCTTAACTTTCTTCTACTCCTCTTTCTCTCTATCACTCTCTCTTAATTTTCTACCTCTCTCTCACCTTTTTCTCTCTCTTAAACTTTCTTTTTCTGCTATTTCTTTCTTGCACTCTTATTTTAACTTTCTTCCTCTCTCTCAACTTTCTCTTCGTCTCTCTCTCTCTAAACCTTCCCCCTCTCATTTTCTCTCTCTCAACTTTCTACCCCCGTTTCATTCTCTCAACCCTCTCTCTACCTCACTCTCTCAACCCTCTCTCTACCTCACTCTCTCAACCTCACTCTCTCAACCCCCTCACTCTTCCATTCGCCTCTCTCTCTCACTTTCTCTCCATACGAATGAATAGAAGAGAAAGAAATAAATAAAAACTCTCTCCATCTTTGTTTCTTCCAACTCATCTCGTTCTTTCATTTTTTCGTACCCGCCAGGATGGAGTTGGATTAGATGGTAGTTTAAAGCCTGGTCCAACTTTTATTGTTTTGGGGGAGGGGGTCTTTTTGCGCGCCAACTGGATGAAAACACTGGCAGCTTCTTGTGTAAAGTTGAGCATCCGGGAGCCAGCAGTACCCAGGGGGAGCCACCTACCTTTTTCGCCTCTTCTCCTCCTGCTCATCTCTCTCTCTCTCTCTCTCTCTCTCTCTCTCTCTCTCTCTTCCTTCTCCATCTTCCCCTTCACTACCCCCCTTCCCCTTCACTAACCCCTTCCCCTTCACTACCCTCCCCCTACCCCCTTCCCTCTCACTACCCCCCTCCCCTTCCCCCTTAACTAACCCCCTTCCCCTTCACTAACCCCTTCCCCTTCACTACCCCCTCCCCTACCTCCCTTCCCCTTCACTACCCCCCTCTTCCCCATTTTCTACATCATTTTTTTCTTTGTTTTAAGATTGTGTTTTCTCTCTTTCCTTCCTTTCTTTCCTGCCTTGGGGTTTATGTATATTTATTATGTCTTTGTTTTGGGTAAGCTTTTGTGTGTGTGTAGGTGTGTGTGTGTGTGTATACATTTTACCGAAACACAAATACAAATATATTAGAAAGCTTGTTAATACACACACACATACACACACACACACACCCACACACACACACACACACACACACACACACACACACACACACCTCTAAGAGTAATTCCAGCCTTTGGCCAGAAGCAGAAGAAAAGAAAAGGAAGACAAGTTGTTGTAATTTCACTCTGACCGAGAAGATGAAAAACTAAAAACTAAATAAAATAACTGAAGTGAAAAGAGACGAGAGTAATTCCGCTCTTTGGTTGTGAGGAAAGACGTAGGAGAAGAGAGAGAGAGAGAGAGAGAGAGAGAGATACACACACATACATACATACATACATACATAAAAAACACTACACAGCTGCCTCGATATAAAAAACGATAAAAAATACAAGTTTACTAAGAGTCTTTCAAGGAAAAAACAAGTCTCTCGCGGGAGGGTGGAGGAGTAGGAGGGAGGGAGGGGGGGGGGCAAGGTAAAACAACGGGAATTAAAAGAAGGGAATAAAATACTAGGGGGAATAAAATGTTTGGGAAGGAAAAAAAAAATACCCGGAGAAAAATGTCTTGTCAGAAATGTGGGTAGGGAAAAATCCAGAGGCACTTCACTTGGCAGGGAAAACCTCGCCGCTCTCAAAACTGCCGCTGTTTTTTTTTTCCTGTCGAGTTCATAAAAAATTGAAGAAAATATTAAGTGATTCTTTCTGAGGCGAATAAAAAGAAGTCTCCTCTTTTGTCAGCTTATTCTGGAGAAATACGCGATTTAATTAGAAAGGAGTTATTATTTGTATGTGTGTGTGTGTGTGTGTCAGGTAGCTAGCGTCAGAGTACACACACCATCTCGGAAGGTAGACACGCACTCCCCTCACACAACCTGTGATACCGAGCAACAGTTGAAAAGTTTAGTGTCCGTCTGTATGTAAATAAGACGTGACCCTCATTCACTACACCTGTTCACCTGCAACTATGGTTTAATGTTCACCTGTCTTAACACTAATGTTCACCTGCCCTAACACTAATTTACACCTTGTTCACCTGCTCTACGACTATTGTTCACCTTGTTCACCTGCCCTAACACTAATTTACACCTCGTTCACCTGCTCTACGACTATTGTTCACCTTGTTCACCTGCCCTAACACTAATTTTCGCCTTGTTCACCTGCAGTACATAATGAACATGAGTGAGGACGACCCGCGTAGGATGGAGGAAATACGCAAGTACGCCGCCATCTACGGACGCTTCGACTGTAAACGGAAACCTGAAAAACCGCTGACCATGCACGAGGTGTGTAGAGGGGGGAGAGGTTGAGGGAGGAGAGGGAAAGGCTGGAGAAAGAGGGAGTGGGGGGAGGTTGGAAGAAAGGTTGAAGGGAGGGAGGAATGAAGGTGAGATGTTACGGAGGAGAGATAACTGCTGGAAGGAGTTACAAGGAAGGAAGAGTGACGTGAGGCATAGAGGAGATGGAAGGGGAAGATGGGATGGAGGGGGAAGGAGATGGGAGGGAGGTAGAAAACGAGAGAGATAACTGTACCCTGTAACATATTGAGTGTTACACCATTACCCTACATTACACCCCAGACCTCCCTACATGTTTACTGAAGCTCTGAAGTTGAAATCCAGGCTTCATAGATCAGTGAAACATATTAGGTGAGGTGACCACAGCAGGTGTATGGAGGGTGGGGAAGCGCTATTACTGTCGAAGGAAGATCTAGGATGGTGCGGGGGCAGAGTTAGTGGCTGTTTTGTTGTGATATGTTGAGAAATAACTAACCAACGTCAATAGCCTGTACAGTGTGTGTGTGTGTATGAGAGAGAGGGAGGGAGACAGAGAGAGCTAGATGAACACTACAGTTTAGGATAATATTAATCTAGAATTAAGTCGGTACACACAGCTCAAGAGGCTAGTGTGGTGAGTGACGCCCTTGATGTCTTTCTGCAGGTGTCGGTGAACGAGGCGGCGGCGCAGATCTGCAAGTATATGCCAGCGCTACTGACGCGGCGAGACGAGCTCTTCCCTCTGGCCAGGCAAGTGGTGCGAGACTCCGGCTACCCGTACTCCAAGGGTCACTCCAGGTCAGTCTAGGTCTCTCTTGTTGTTGTAGCTTGTGGTAGATCCTATTTGGGCTGTGTTGCCTCTCCTTGTGTCGTGTGGTCCATAGCACTGACGATCATTTATAGCTCATAACAGTAGTTCTCACTTTGGTGTCTTGGAAACATTTGTTGCTAGTCTGTAATGAACTGCCATAAGCGGTACTTTAGCAACAGTCCTCACATACACCACATCCAGCCGTCATGAATGTGTAAGACTAATATGTGTTGGCGTGTCTCCCAGCAGGTCACAGACGGTGGTGGGCCGCGAGGAGGAGCCCAGGACCAAGAGGACTAGGTCAGACTCTGGCCATGACGCAGGTGACCTCAAGAACGACCTCCAGTGGAAGAAAAGACAGGTGAGGCGCCCACCTGTTGGTCACGCCCAGCACATGATATCACGCGCCCTCTGCCTTATATAGTGTCATCACATTACACGTGTCTTGTTTTCACCTAGTTGTAAAGTCTCTTTGTTACGTTACGTCCTTAAGTAACACCTGTGAAGTATCTAGAGACTAGTTGCTTCACAAGTGTTACAAGTATGTGTCATGATCAAGATTCTAGGTGATAGTACATACTTATACTAGTCCTCTGGGTGTAGCACTGTCCTCAGCGTGTACACTAGGCCGTGGTAGACTGACGTGTGTGAGTGTAAAAGCAATTCTGTTCTCTTAATGCATCTCAAGGTGTTAGTCTTATAGTCAGTAAGAACGACACGTGTAGTGGTCAGTTGGGTGCACACATTTACTTGATGAAGAAGCTAAAACTTATTTTTGTTAGTTTCTGATTTTTTTAAGTAGCAACTAATTCTCCATCACATTATAAATTAGATTTTATAATTAATTAATTTTTGTCTGACATTAATTCCGTACAAAACAACATTAAGTGGAGACTGTGTGAAGAGATGCAGTGGAAACGTGTGTAATAAACCTGGTAACTATACTGTACAGGTGACCAACATCACGTATACCTGAGAAGATTAAAAAAAAACAAATACACTAATACCTGTCATGGCATATTAACCTGATATACATTAAGATAACAAACATCTGCCGCTGCTTCTTCTTCTTCACATTCCGACTCCAGCAGCTGTCTATACTAAACCATTCCAACTTTCATCTCCTTCATTTATCAGTGTATATATGGTGATCACTGACACCATCTCCCCAGCACCTCGGTAATAAACATTTAGCTATTGTTTAATGGGTTTTTCATGGCTTCAGTTACACCTTTCATGTACAGTATTTACAAACATAAATATATATAAGATCATAATATAAAGCCTTGTAGTCCCCGGTAGGTGAGTCTGAATCATTATTGAGTTTGCAGGAGTAGAGGTGCTGCTGATTTTTGTGATAGAGTTTTATTCTGGATTTAGCGTCCTCGTAGGAAAGAAAAATACAAACTTAAAGAAAGAAAAAAAACTAGGATGAATTTTTCTGAGCGAATCTGAGAGTTTTATTGAGTTGACCGGGAGATTTCTCAGGAAAGAATACAAGATCAGATGAAGTACTGGGGAAAAAGGAAGAGAGTTTGAGTTAGTGTGTACAGTAGACGTGCAGGCTGGTGGTGCTGTGGTGCTGTTGTCTATTAAACATTTCTTTAAATTTGTCTCTGAACCTGACAGACATATTAGTGAACCTATTAGTTACCTGAGGTCCATATTTACACCATTAAGATCCAATTTATGAAACAATTATTTTTTGTATGTTATATCATGAATGGAATGGATATATATTTGTCTAAATTAAATAAGGTGATGATACTTGTTCTCTTTTCTCATACCTGTATATTACCTGACAGAACTTCAATTATCAAGTGTTATTTATGGTTATTTATCACATTTAAGACAGTTATTTTTTCAGGTAATTGTATCTGTGAATAGTTTGAAAGTTTGAGATGATAATATTGTGACTTTATGATGTTTTAGACTTGGATTAATATTTGTTTTTGTTATTGTTGTGATTTTTTGGGAGGAATATTTTCTTGTGTTAACATTTTTAATTTTGGTTCATCATATTGTTTCATGAAGTGTCCTCCTCCAGATACACGACCCTCTACCACATGTCACTCCACCCTACTCCCCCACTCCCTCCTCCACCCCCACTCCCGAGACCTAGCAACACCCACACCCTCCACCTCCCAGCTAACACTCGCCTCCACACTCTGGTATAACTCTGTGATTCCTCCACTTATCTAACTCTACTCCTTCCATCCCTCATAACTCCTCACACCTGTACTAACCTCACGACCTCTACTAGCTTCATTAACGCCTTCATCTTCCCTCAGGAGCGACTGGAGGCCATCAGCGAAGAGCTCCGACACATGAGTGAGCGAGCGGAGGAGGTGCGGTCGAGCCTCAGTTCTGGCGGTGGAGACGTGTCCGCCCTCACCTCTCAGATGGACGCCCTACAGTCACGACACTCTCAACTCACCCTCGAGCAGAACGAACTACTCAAGGCCCAGCGCAAGTGAGTCCTCCTAGAGTTCTTATTTGAGAATCTGCATCTGTCTTCGGCGAGGAACCTTCGTCGGTGCGGCGGGTTCGAGGTTCCATCTTCCTCCCCGTGCGGATTATGCGGATCTTGGATGAGAATTTCGGGATTTCTCTGACGCAGGAGCGGAGAGTTCGGTCTCTCACGTGAGGATCTGATGATGATTCTTAGTAATAAATAAACAATGTCAACTTCTGGAAGAACAGAAGGATTTCTGGATAATTTTTGATGTAAAACTTCAGGACCTTTATTGTGTCTGTAGGCGGGACCTCCTGACGCTCACACGTCATATTATTGAATAGTCGACCCGCGGTGACTTGCGAGGTGGGCTACACGAGACACCTACACAACACGGGTTCCTCCGCCTGCTGGAGAACTTCCCTTACACAAGGCAGCGGGTGTGTGGTCTCCACTCCCCGGTGGTGGCCTCCACTCCCCGGTGGTGGCCTCCATTATATCAGCTCTCACTGTTTACTGACAATGATCACCGTCAGCCGATTCATGTCACGGGATCAATACATGTCCAGAACGCGTAGTAGTTGACTCAAAATTAATATTGAGTGTAAAGTTGTGGATACTGTTAGTCAGGTTAATTCAAGTACAAATTAAGAATGATTAAGAAAACTTGATGTAAATATTGTTAATCATCTTACTGGTTAATGTATCATCAAAACTGCTTGTGTGTATTTCTGTGTCTGTCTAGAATCTTCTAGTGTGTGTGTGTGTGTGTGTTTGGCAAGTACGCCCATGTGAGCGTGTGTGTGGGTGACAGTGGAGACACGAGCAGTTCACAAGGTGATATGATCATTTTGTGACGTAACAGTTAAGTTGACTTAAACGATTTTTGTATGGCGCCTTGTGGTGGTGCAACACGGCGCTGAGTGAGGCGACGCTCCTGCTGTAGTGGCGGCTGAGGCTCCTGTACCAAATGTGCTTATTAGCTTAATAATGTTATATGTGATAAACTATTTGTAGTCAAGCGTGAGTGTGTCGACAATGTGTGGTGCTGGACTAAGTATGTCTTGTGACGTTCGTGTCACTTGAGTTGGGTGTGTCAGTTGACTGTCACTTGTTCTTCACTGTGTGTCTTGACGCGTGAGGTAACCTGAGTGCGTGAGGTGAGAGTCGCAGGTCCCGACAAGTCTTTACTTAGGGACTTAGCACAGCTTAGTGTTGCAACTTAGCTAGTGTATTACTGCTCTGTTATAACTCAACATGTTAATTTTAACTCTGGCATGACCACCAGAATAATGTTTGTGTTTTTATGTATTTATTTATCCCGAGTAATTTGTGGCACTGCAGTAAGAATGAATGAAAAACTGCTATTGATTATAACTTAATGTAAATAAAAGAACTTGAAATTAATATTGTTTTGTGTTTTGAATTAGTGAAAACCCGTTGAATATATGACTTTTGTTATGTGAATGACTGGCGAGTTAAACTGTCTGTATTGTTAGTTACAGTAACACGGCTGACTGACGTATATAACTGCTATTATCTGTAAGGCTCGCCGGCCGGGCACACACGGTTAGCGGCTGACGTGTTGGCGGGCGGAGAACACGGCAGGTAAACAAGTTAGGGGATAAATAGACAGACAGGCAAGCAAGCAGTCAAACAAACATTTGGACACTGAAATCATGCACATAGGCATGCAAGCAAGCACGCAGAGAGGCAGACAGGAGGGAGGACTTGCACTATCAGCTCGGCCCATGCCACGAACCCTCCTCTGTGTCATACTTTTTGTCATGACAGAAAACCTTATTTGCATGTGGCATTATATTTCACCCGTGAGGTGGATACATTTCCGGCTATAAATGTCCAGATGCACATAAACGTAAATTGGACCAAAATAGAAACCTCCGGACAAGTTAAGAGAGAGGTGTGTGTACCCTGGCCCTCTGTAGCCTCAGCGTCGACCATCAGTCCTGCTGCGTCCTAGTGTAATCTGGACTGGATTGGCATGTTTACTAGCAGTATATAGTACTTAACTGTAAGCTAACGTAGTTCCGTAATTTAATACGTGATGTATCTTAGTTAACAGTAGCGCAGTGTAGTATTGTTGTATAGTATTAGAAATATCGTAGTTTGTGGTCGTTATTTGATAGGTCTCAGGTTATGCTTCGTAGTAAAGGGCCGTAGTCTGTTAGCAATATGGTGAAGTAGATCGTAGTGTAACCTAACCTAACCTAACCTAACAAGGCAACATAACTCTACTGTAGGTTATGGACGGCGCCAACCAGGGTCCAGGAACACACACACGCGCTCTTGTTGTGTTGTCTCACTTGACGATAAATCCTCCTCCTTAAACATGGGTTTTATGGCATTTTCTTGTGTCTTGAGGTTCTTTACGATGGCCAGAGATAAGCTCAAAATTACGACATGTTTACTATGTAAATCCCCCGAGGTAAGAGTCTAAATGGATTTAAAATGGTGGTGATTAAGAGGATTTAAGACTAGTATAGTATGAGTGGATTTATGGTACACGACAACCACTTAGCAGTCGTGCATGGTAGTGTAGGTGTCGTGGCGGCGTTGATGTGTTTGTCTCGTAGAGGTAAAAGAAAGGAAAGACGTGAAAAATAGTAAGAGAGGGACAAAAGAGAGAAGCGTTTATATAGAGTTAAGATTTAGGTGTGTGGGAGAGTAGTGGTTTTAATTAACATGATGACAGGTAGGCTGGTTAGTGGTGAGTCACACGGTGTAACCCTCCCCCCCTCTCCATCAACCCCCTCCCCCACTATACTCTCGTTGGGTTCATACAGCCCCCCCCCTCCCCTCCCCCCTCCCTCTAAAACATCCTCACTACTACGCTACACGACTTGTATATCCTCGGGTAACCACATACAGTATTAATATATTCACAAAGTCTAAACCTCACAGGGATATACACACAATATATCCCAAAGTAATTCTATGACACTTACATATCCCACAATAGTCCTATACGAAACTGGTACTGTATCCCAAAAGGAGAAAAATATCCCAAGATCAACACAGATAATATTGTCAATAACTCGGCACAAGTATCATTGTCAGTAACTCGGCACAGGTAACAATATCAGTAACTCGGCACAAGTATCATTGTCAGTAACTCGGCACAGGTAACAATATCAGTAACTCGACACAAGTATCATTGTCAGTAACTCGGCACAGGTAACAATATCAATAACTCGGCACAAGTATCATTGTCAGTAACTCGGCACAGGTAACAATATCAGTAACTCGGCACAAGTATCATTGTCAGTAACTCGACACAGGTAACATTGTCGGTAACTCGGCCTTTGATAGAACCTGCTGCGTCGTGTGTGTACCTAACTTAACCCATCAGAATACTGGAAGAAAACTCAACACTTACACATTTTCAATTCATTTTGGGACACGTTATTAAAAACTTCACTTAACTGTATGTGTGTTGGGGGGGCGGGTACAGAGTGTATCTTCAAGCTTCTCCTTAAGCATAACACTACGTCTTTTATTCCCACAAATTTATTAATCCACCACCTGACTCGAGCCAGTTATACCTGTTCTTAATTGGATCTTTTCTTGTTTAATCTGAGATCGAGTGAGTGTCAGCTCTCTCTCTCTCTCTCTCTCTCTCTCTCTCTCTCTCTCTCTCTCTCCAATTGTCAGTTTACTCTTTTTTCTTTTTCTTTTTTAACTTTTTATTACAGCCTTGTCTCACCTCAGGTCAGCTTATAAGGTAAACCGTATCACCAGACCATTGTAATGTCCAGGTTAGGTTAGGTTAGGTACCAGCGCCTACATCACACGTATCCACTCATTACCAAACTTGATTCTGGTGGTTTATGTCGTTGTTAATAAGTCAATACCTAACACAAGTCTCTCATGGCGGATTAACTCTTAACACTGATATTTAGATTAACTTAAGAACATGTTTAACTGGCTGTGGTTTGGTTAGGTTAGGTTAGCAGTTAATGTACCTCAGTCCTGGTTAGTTTATTAGTATTAAGTAAACATGATTAATTATAGCAGGTGTAGTTATGTTTTAACTTACGAGAGATTAATTGTCGTAAGAATTTTTGAGAATTAGAACCTTAGATTTGTCACTTTACATTGTATTATGGAACTGTGTATTATGTTATTGTAAGGTGTATTAATTAGTACTGTTAAGCGCAGGTAACTCCACACCTGTTGGTTACTTTTTACAGTATTATCATTATTATTATTATTATTATTATTATTATTATTATTATTATTATTATTATCATTATTATTATTATTATTATTATTACTTATTTGTAACTCAACGCACTATATTATCTTATAATATTTATCAATATTATTCCAACAAAAGGTGTAACAATATCATAAACAACATACAGGTATATTAAAAAAAAATACTACAATCCCAAAAAGAATTCAAACACTTTATCTAATCCACTTCAGACGATTCATTTTGGCAGCAGTAACGATATCCGTTGAGCAGTTCATCACCGTGGCTATCGATCACACACACTACCCATTTATAATCGACCACCTCACTACTCCACATCATTAATATAATCTTCCCGCGCTGAAAAAGAACCACCGCCGCCCCAGTCACCCTATAAAAGGCTCGGGAAATAAAACGGCGGCGAGTGGGGAAAAAACTATTTACAAAAAAGTAGACAGGAGGGGTTAGGTTAGGTTGCCGCTCACCCTCTTCTACAGCATCATTAATAAGGCCATTTAGCGGTCCCAATGCTGATCAAACACGGCCCAGTAAAGTCAATTTATGGTGGAGCTTCGTGCAGTAGTGTGGTCATTTGTCAGTGTTCTGCAAGATGGACTCAGACACACCTGCGTAGTCACACATTTGTTTATGACGTCATCTCTATTTTTTTTTTCATTACGTTACAAAAAAGTATTGACGGTGAAGCTGAGAATTTTTACCTTTTGCTTTTTTTTTGTATGTATACATAGAGTCGTGGTTGATCTTGTTCTTAATGAGATAATTTATCCACGTTTTGTAAGAT